ACAATTAATTCATGAAAACTTGGCTTATTAGGCAAATCGGGCCTTGCATAGTAGGCTGAGAAGTGCGTTCTGGCTACTAGGTACGACATATATATATATATATATATATATATATATATATATATATATATATATATATATATTTTGGTAGCAGTCTTTCCTGTAGACATATATTATTAAATATGACCGAAAAAGTAAGATTAATAATTCTAACACGAATTTTCTCAATCTTTCGTACATTACGCTTCACTGTTGGAGGTAAATCAAAAATCAATTCTCCAAAATTCATTTTTATTTCTAGTCTGACGCGACACGGGCGCGTTTCGTAAAACTTATTACATTTTCAAAGACTTTAGTTCACAAATACACAACTGAATAGAACTTACGTATCTCCGATTTTATATCTACATTTGAGTGAGGTGGAAGGGGTGATGTGGCATTAACACAAGACAGAACAAAGTGTGGTATTAATAGGGTATTAATTTCATCAACACAAGACAGAACAAGAGTATTAATAGGGTATTAATTTCATCAACACAAGACAGAACACGAAACAATGGATATTGAATAGAAGTGTTTGTAGAAAGCCTATTGGTCCATATTTCTTGATGCTTCTATATTGGAGCGGAGTCTTGAGGTGGGTAGAATATAGTTGTGCAATAATTGGCTGTTGATTGCTGGTGTTGACTTCTTGATGTGTAGTGCCTCGCAAACGTCAAGCCGCCTGCTATCGCTGTATCTATCGATGATTTCTGTGTTGTTTACTAGGATTTCTCTGGCGATGGTTTGGTTGTGGGAAGAGATTATATGTTCCTTAATGGAGCCCTGTTGCTTATGCATCGTTAAACGCCTAGAAAGAGATGTTGTTGTCTTGCCTATATACTGGGTTTTTTGGAGCTTACAGTCCCCAAGTGGGCATTTGAAGGCATAGACGACGTTAGTCTCTTTTAAAGCGTTCTGTTTTGTGTCTGGAGAGTTTCTCATGAGTAGGCTGGCCGTTTTTCTGGTTTTATAGTAAATCGTCAGTTGTATCCTCTGATTTTTGTCTGTAGGGATAACGTTTCTATTAACAATATCTTTCAGGACCCTTTCCTCCGTTTTATGAGCTGTGGAAAAGAAGTTCCTGTAAAATAGTCTAATAGGGGGTATAGGTGTTGTGTTAGTTGTCTCTTCAGAGGTTGCATGGCTTTTCACTTTCCTTCTTATGATGTCTTCGACGAAACCATTGGAGAAGCCTCTTTTTCCACAGCTACCCTATTAATACCCTATTAATACTCTTGTTCTGTCTTGTGTTGATGAAATTAATACCCTATTAATACCACACTTTGTTCTGTCTTGTGTTAATGCCACATCACCCCTTCCACCTCACTCAAATGTAGATATAAAATCGGAGATACGTAAGTTCTATTCAGTTGTGTATTTGTGAACTAAAGTCTTTGAAAATGTAATAAGTTTTACGAAACGCGCCCGTGTCGCGTCAGACTAGAAATAAAAATGAATTTTGGAGAATTGATTTTTGATTTACCTCCAACAGTGAAGCGTAATGTACGAAAGATTGAGAAAATTCGTGTTAGAATTATTAATCTTACTTTTTCGGTCATATTTAATAATATATATATATATATATATATATATAAAGATGGTGGGATAAATAGCTTCGGCTACCATCATCTTTTGAACGGTCGTGATGGTCGAGTGGTGAAGGTGTCCTGTACGCCAGATGCATAGTGCTCCTGGCAGTATGGGGTTCGAGTCACTTCTGGGGTGTGAGTTTTCGGTTGCATGTATGTCTGGGGACCAGCCAGGCTTGTTTGCACATATATATATATATATATATATATATATATATATATATATATATATATATATATATATCTATATATATATATATATATTCGACCTCGAGACACAAAAAGGTCACCACCAAGGACACCTTACAAGCAGAACTTATCGCAGAATTAGGAAAGAATCGAGGCAACTACAGAAATACTGTCCCCCGAGCTCAAAGCGGCAGCTAAGAGCCTTCGTGAGAACAAGGAGATAGTCGTCAGGAGAGGTGACAAGTCGCCAATATACGTCATTCTTAAAAAAGACGAATATCTGGCGAAAATGGACCTCATACTCTCTGACCAAACTAAATTCCAAAGGATAACGAAGGACACTACAGCCGAATTGAAAGCAAAGGTCAACAAATTGATCGAAACTGTGAACGCCAAGAAATCCAGACTCCACCTGCCAAAGATTATTGGGGAATACAAACCTGGATACGCGTATGGAAATGTCAAGAAACACAAGCCTGGAAACCGACTTCGGCCAATCATCAGCCAGGTACCCACACCTACGTACAGACTGGCGAAGCGACTCAACGGCTTGCTGACTCCTTATGTGCCTTGCGCCTTCAGCCTGAAGTCTCCAAAGGAATTTGTTGACTTACTGCGGGGAACACGGGCCACAGGGATAAGAGCCTCGTTGGACGTAGAATCACTGTTTACCAACGTACCTGTGGATGAAACAATTGGGATGATAGCGGACAGAGTGTATCGTGATCTGGCCTGTACTCCTCTTGACATAGCAGAAAACATTCTAAGGAAACTACTCCAAGCTTGTACTAAAGAGGCACCCTTCTTGAGCCCGGATGGGCACATGTATAAGCAAGTAGATGGGGTTGCCATGGGTTCTCCCCTAGGTGTCCTGTTTGCAAACTTCTACATGGGTACCATCGAACAAAAGGTCTTAGTCGACATGAACTTGAAACCGGCCATATACTGCAGGTATGTTGACGACATTTTTACACAGGTACCTGATGTCAGACATCTGCAGGAGCTGAAGGAGGCATTTGAGCGGAATTCTGTGTTGCGTTTCACTTACGAGATGGAGAAGGATGGGAAGCTGCCCTTTCTAGATGTAACAGTTATGGAAAGGAGCGGAGGTTTCCACACTGCAGTCTACACTAAGGAAACAAACATAGGAATGTGCCTCAATGCCAACAGTGACTGCCCAGACAGGTACAAGAGAAGTGCTATTAACGCTTATGTCGACCGTGCTCTCAGCCACAGCTCAGGATGGAAGCAAGTCGATGAAGAACTCTGTAGGGTAAGGCAGGTCCTAGTCAACAACGGCTTCTCCAATGGTTTCGTGGAAGACATCATAAGAAGGAAGGTGAAACGCCATGCAACCTCTGAAGAGACAACTAACACAACACCTGTACCCCCTATTAGACTATTTTACAGGAACTTCTTTTCCACAGCTCATAAAACGGAGGAAAGGGTCCTGAAAGATATTGTTAATAGAAACGTTATCCCTACAGACAAAAATCAGAAGATACAATTGACGATTTACTATAAAACCAAGAAAACTCCCAACCAACTCATGAGAAATTCTCCAGTCACAAAGCAGAACGCTTTGAAAGAGTCCAATGTCGTCTATGCCTTCAAATGCCCACTTGTGGACTGTAAGCCTCAAAGAACTCAGTATATAGGCAAGACAACAACATCTCTTTCCAGGCGATTAACGATGCATAAGCAACAGGGCTCCATTAAGGAACATATAATCTCTTCCCACAACCAGACCATCACCAGAGAAGTCTTAACAAAAAACACAGAAATCATCGATAGATACAGCGATAGCAGGCGGCTTGATATCTGCGAGGCACTACACATTAAGAAGTCAACACCAGCAATCAACAGCCAATTAATGCACAACTATATTCTACCCACTTCAAGACTCCGCACCAATATAGAAGCATCAAGAAATATGGGCCAATAGGCCCTTTGCATTTACTTCCATTCTTCCCTTTAACTTACCCAATATTATACCCATTGTTTCGTGTTCTATCTTGTGTTGAAAGTTTGTTTTCACCTCATCCAAAACTGTTGTAACATATCACCTCACCCAAATGCAGGTATATAAAATGAAAAGCCATTTGAATTATAGCATAGTAAGAAATCTGTTTAGTGTTTGTAGGTTATAGTTGTGTGTGTGTAAACTAAAGTCTTTGAAAATGTAATAAGTTATTACGAAACGCGTTCAAGTGTCGCGTCAGACTAGAAATAAAAATGAATTTTGGAGAACTGATTTTTCAATTACCATTGACAGTGAAAAGAAACAAGAAATATTGAGAAAATTCGTGTTAGAATTATTAATCTTTCTTTTTCGGTCATATTTAATAATATATGTCTACAGGAAAGACTGCTACCAAATATACTAATATATATATATATATATATATATATATATATATATATATATAATATATATATATATATATATATATATATATATATATATATATATATATAAATATATAATATATATAATATATATATATATATATATATATATATATATATATATATATATATATATATATATATATATATATATATATATATATATATATATATATATATATATATATATATATATATATATATATATATATATATATATATATATATATATATTTGATCAACGACCCGAAAGCACTCACAATGGGAAGAGAACACCGATCGTTTTCATCCGATCAGTTACTGAGGAGATCGCGAGCCTCAATGTACGACACACTTGCATAAACGCGCAAGTTATATGTAACTAAAGAACTCAACCTCGTGAAGGATTCGAACCTTAATAAGTTCGATTTGAATTCGATTCGAGTTTAATTCGAACTTGAATCGAAGATTTGATTCGAACCTTCGTTAGCATGTTTGGAGCACCAGGCTATCTAAGGTGTGAATTCTTCACGAGGTTGAGTTATTTAGTTACATAAAACTTGCGCCTTTATGCAAGTGTGTGATGCATTGAATGGCACTCTTTATGTTACTGATGTGGTGCCTTCTTTTGATAATTACTTAATGTTACTGACCTTGACCAAAGTATTTGGTTTGAAGGGATAGGGAGCAGAAATAAAGGATGTGGGTGACAGATATGCAAGGGCTTTCTTACGCTCTTGTCTGTTTGTACATTTCTACCCTGAGAACCTGTGTGTGTGTGTGTGTCATCAGGTATATCTTCGGTGTTGCCGTTCATGATGGTGGTGGCCAGGCAGCTGGGGGTCCCCGTGGCCACACAAGGCATCATCTCTGCTGTTATCACCGCCACGGCTGTCCTGGTCAAGCCGGCCATCTCCGCCATCGCTGACTACCTCCCTGCCTGCAGGAAGCCCATCTTCCTGCTCCTCTTGACAACCATGATACTGACCATCGGTCCTATAGGATTCTTCTCGCCGCTCTATGGGTCCCCAACATTACGGGGCAAGCTGGAGTATAGTGCTGGCGGGGGTGCGATGAATTTCCTTGCAAATTACTCAGGTACGTTTCTCCTGAATTCTGTAATATTTTCCAAATGGACAATGTCGGTTTTCACCCCGAGGCAGTTTCGAAGGCTTCCTGTCGCTCCGTCTGCATAATACCTCGAACAATAGCCTCTGAATTAACAGACTTTTGGGAAATAACATTTGCCGACATTGGTTACTTCCTTGCTCGATGTTGGGACAGAGAATTTTCAAATATTGACCACACTCCATCATTCATTAGGCACATTGCAATGGCATAGGCCAGATTGGCCTACTGCCTTTAGAAACTTGTATAAGGAATCATTCCGAACTTTGATCCTTCATCACCTTCAGTGATTAAGTGCTTAATTGCACACTAGTTTCTTTATCAGCTATCTCACCCTGTCAGAGTAAATGAGACAGATGTATGTGAATGCATGTGTGTGTATATATGTATGTATATGTATGGGTATAAAGTATATATGGAAGCTGATCAGAATTACATTTCACCTTTGTGAATGTACATTAATGACACTATGTAAAAGACACATCAAACACTTTATGTAGGGCATACGTAAATCTGTGTATCTATGTATTTACGTATGTAGGTTAGCTTAGCATTTTAAAAGCACCGAATCGCCTTCTGTGGTTGAGTGTTCAATAAACCCTTGAACTCTATGTTTAACATTTCTCTAACCCTGTCCATGGAGGACAGAAGAAAATGTATATATGCTGGTTAGCATTGTAAATGTGTGGCCACGTCTGTGGTAGAAAATAATAATAAAAAAAAAAAAATTCCGAACTTTGTATATCACTTACGTCAGACCACTCCTGGAGTATGTAACTCCAGCCTAAAGTCCATACCCCAACTAGGTGAATACAAGACGACATGCAGAAAATAATTACAAATTGTATTCCCAGGTGTTGCCAGTCATTTGTTTTGCCATTAAAATATTTCGCTAGTTTCAGGATTTCCCAGGTAAACTTATTTAAAATCCTGGACGTGTTTATGATCTTTTGTACTAAAGTTTATTTTAAAACTCATATTTTATTTTATTTTAAAGTATGAGCCCCAAACTCATACTCATAATTATACATACTTATACATACTCATACATAAAACGGGTTTGTTATAGGGTGTATTTTCGGTCGGCATTGTCTTGCCACCTCGCACGTGTTGACAAATTTACATCTGTAATTTATGACCAAATAGTTTGGCAGAAATAAGTATGTTAGGTAAGTATGGCCACGCGGGTAAGGTAAAGCCTGGCCACGCGGGTAAGGTAAAGCCTGGCCACGCGGGTAAGGTAAAGCCTGGCCACTCGGGTAAGGTAAAGCCTGGCCACGCGGGTAAGGTAAAGCCTGGCCACTCGGGTAAGGTAAAGCCTGGCCACGCGGGTAAGGTAAAGCCTGGCCACTCGGGTAAGGTAAAGCCTGGCCACTCGGGTAAGGTAAAGCCTGGCCACGCGGGTAAGGTAAAGCCTGGCCACTCGGGTAAGGTAAAGCCTGGCTACCCGGGTAAGGTAAAGCCTGGCCACTCGGGTAAGGTAAAGCCTGGCCATGCGGGTAAGGTAAAGCCTGGCCACTCGGGTAAGGTAAAGCCTGGCCACTCGGGTAAGGTAAAGCATGGCCACGCGGGTAAGGTAAAGTCTGGCCACTCGGGTAAGGTAAAGCCTGGCCACTCGGGTAAGGTAAAGCCTGGCCACTCGGGTAAGGTAAAGCCTGGCCACTCGGGTAAGGTAAAGCCTGGCCACTCGGGTAAGGTAAAGCCTGGCCACTCGGGTAAGGTAAAGCCTGGCCACCCGGGTAAGGTAAAGCCTGGCCACTCGGGTAAGGTAAAGCCTGGCCACTCGGGTAAGGTAAAGCCTGGCCACTCGGGTAAGGTAAAGCTGGCACGCGGGTAAGGTAAAGCCTGGCCACTCGGGTAAGGTAAAGCCTGGCCACCGGGTAAGGTAAAGCCTGGCCACTCGGGTAAGGTAAAGCCTGGCCACTCGGGTAAGGTAAAGCCTGGCCACTCGGGTAAGGTAAAGCCTGGCCACTCGGGTAAGGTAAAGCCTGGCCGGGTAAGGTAAAGCCTGGCCACTCGGGTAAGGTAAAGCCTGGCCACTCGGGTAAGGTAAAGCCTGGCCACTGGCGGGTAAGGTAAAGCCTGGCCACTCGGGTAAGGTAAAGCCTGGCCACTCGGGTAAGGTAAAGCCTGGCGGGTAAGGTAAAGCCTGGCCACCGGGTAAGGTAAAGCCTGGCCACTCGGGTAAGGTAAAGCCTGGCCACTCGGGTAAGGTAAAGCCTGGCCACGCGGGTAAGGTAAAGCCTGGCCACTCGGGTAAGGTAAAGCCTGGCCACTCGGGTAAGGTAAAGCCTGGCCGGGTAAGGTAAAGCCTGGCCACTCGGGTAAGGGTAAAGTCTGGCCACTCGGGTAAGGTAAAGCCTGGCCACTCGGGTAAGGTAAAGCCTGGCCACTCGGGTAAGGTAAAGCCTGGCCACCCGGGTAAGGTAAAGCCTGGCCACTCGGGTAAGGTAAAGCCTGGCCACTCGGGTAAGGTAAAGCCTGGCCACTCGGGTAAGGTAAAGCCTGGCCACCCGGGTAAGGTAAAGCCTGGCCACTCGGGTAAGGTAAAGCCTGGCGGTAAAGTGGCCAAGGTAAAGCCTGGCCACTCGGGTAAGGTAAAGCCTGGCCACTCGGGTAAGGTAAAGCCTGGCGGGTAAGGTAAAGCCTGGCCACGCGGGTAAGGTAAAGCCTGGCCACTCGGGTAAGGTAAAGCCTGGCCACTCGGGTAAGGTAAAGCCTGGCGGGTAAGGTAAAGCCTGGCCACTCGGGTAAGGTAAAGCCTGGCGGGTAAGGTAAAGCATGGCCACTCGGGTAAGGTAAAGCCTGGCCACTCGGGTAAGGTAAAGCCTGGCCACTCGGGTAAGGTAAAGCATGGCCACTCGGGTAAGGTAAAGCCTGGCCACCCGGGTAAGGTAAAGCCTGGCCACAGGTTATAATGAGCGGGTTTGAGGGGCAGGTTTAAGTGTCAAGTAAATCATATATTGTTTCGTTGAGTAAAATCATGGTAGTATTTCAAATGAATAATTAATAATGAATATTTTAATATTTTTAAGACCCTAGTGATTTGTATAATTAATAAAATTCATAAGAATTCTTTAAGCGTTGCAAAATTGTGTTGTTAAATTTTGAGCAACATTACAATTGAATACAATTAAGCACAACAGGTAAATTAAGGTTTATTAAACACAAGGAATGAATAGGATTTATCTGAAATAAGATAATTTATAGGAATCCTAGCCTATCCAGTACCTTGGTACATTAAATATATAGAATCAACAACCAATGTTAACTAGAAAGTTTATAACTAAACTTTATTGTAGGGATTCGTAGAGGATTTAAATACGTCGCCTCCTCTTTGCCTCTCTAGCCTAGCCATAGGTCTTTATGTAATCAGGTAATCGCAACGGACAGGTCATAATGGCAGACCTGAATGAAGTTTCTTAGTTTATTGTCTATTGGCTATCATCCAAATGATAGCTCCACTGTATCTATTGGCATGATATACATGTCTTTGCCCTTCCAAGCCCCACCCTCTACTTTTCTACATTACTACCTCTCCCTCTCACCCTCAGTGGATCAGATGGTCTGATCCACAGGGAGGCCTATCTGGTCTCCTCAATATATCGAGGATGACCGAATAAGCTAACGTGCCCAAATTTTCTGACTTTTGTTTATTTTCAGCTTCACCGTGTTTACGTTGACGCTTGTGTTGCTAAAGGTATAAATGCGTAATATATGCATGTTGTATAACTTGTACACTCATATATTGATACAATAGTGCGAGAATGGTCTCTCGGGATTTACCCACGGCTACCTAAAGTGGCATATTGCAGTGCAGAGTGCACCAGTCTGTGCACAAGGTTATGTCTTGCTTATCACAGGATGCAAAGGATGTATCACTGACAAGGTTGGTATCGCTGGACAGCCCACACGGCTAGCAAGTGATAACAGGGAGGCTGCCGTGTGTCCAGTGGGAAATTAAACGGGACGAATTAAGCATTTATGCCATAGCAATATGAGAATCGAGGAGCTCAACACGTTTGAAGTTGCAGGTTGTTGAAGAGAGCAAACCGCAATGCGGGGACACATAAGCCTTGACTTTCGGGGTCACAACCCGTCCTCCTAATAGAACATCGCATTTTGACGTATACGTTACCTAATGCCAAAATCGTCGAACTGGAAAATGGTAGCGGCTCGCGAAATTGACATACTTCCCGTTTTCTGTTATGGGTCCTCTGGTAAGTTAGGATAAGGCACTTTAGTACAACAGTTTATTGAGGTTGGGAACGTTGGCGAGAACTGGCCAAGTCACCAGCCAGCCTGGTCCAGTGGCTGCTACTCGCTTAGCATACATATATGAGATGTCACCATCTGCCCCACATGCTTCGCTCGTGGCCTGCATGGTTATGGAGCATGTCTGTGTGCTTGCCTGCACGCGTGTCACCATGAGATACCACTTGCGCTCGTTGTAGAGATACAGCATGTATCCTGCTTTACCACAGCGGTCCCCGTGGCGCAGTGGTAAAACACTCGCCCGGCTCTTCGCGAACGCTTTGGCCTGGGTTCGTATCCTGGCCGGGGAGGATTGACTGGGCGCCAATCTTTAACCGTAGCCTCTGTTCACTCAGCAGTGAATGGGTATCTGGTTGTTAAACGATATGGCGGGTCGTATTCCGGGGAAAAATTAGAATTAAGGACTTGCCCGAAACGCTATGCGTGCAGCTAGTGGCTTTACAAGAATGTAACGACTCTTGTATATATAAATAAAAAGTACGGCGGTGGGGGGAAAGCCTGTTATCTTACTGCTTTTTTTTTGGGGGGGGGGGAGTAAAGAGGAAGGAGAGGCATAGGTGAAGGGAAGTTTAGAAGTGGGAAGTACAGTAAGAGGTATGAAAGCAGGCGGGCTGTCCGCCTTGCTGACTAACTGTGCTACCATGCTGTGTGTGGACATGAGACCAGCTGTCAGACTAAGTATGAAGCTGCGTTCATAAGTGATGGTATTAGGAGTCGAGTGGCAGCTTTACTGTGAGTGTGGTTGTTTGTCTTTCTGTGCACTGGTCTCGGTGCTCAGATAGAATTTCTCGCCCACTTAGCACCTGTAACAGGTGAAGGCTGGAATTAAGACAAACCCGATGTCTTAATTATGACATCAATATGTAATTATAATCATAATTATAATCAATATGTCTATCAGTGTGATACCACATTACACTGTCAGTGAATGTGAGCTTCTCATACACCATACACTTAATCCTTGTACTCACCTAGTTGTGCTTGCGGGGGTTGAGCTTTGGCTCTTTGGTCCCGCCTTTCAACCATCAATCAACTGGTGTACAGATTCCTGAGCCTATTGGACTCTATCATATCTACATTTGAAACTGTGTATGGAGTCTGCCTCCACCACATCACTGCCTAATGCATTCCACCTGTTAACTACTCTGACACTGAAAATAATCTTTCTAATGTCTCTGTGGCTCAACTGGGTACTAAGTTTCCACCTGTGTCCCCTTGTTCGTGTTTCTCCCGTGCTAAAGAGTTTGTCCTTATCCACCCTGTCAATTCCCCTGAGAATTTTGTAGATGGATATCATGTCTCCCCCTACTCTTCTGACTTCCAGGGACGCGAGTTTCAGCTCCTTTAGCCTTTCCTCGTAGCTCATACCTCTCAGTTCTGGGATGAGTCTGGTGGCATACCGCTGAATCTTCTCTAACGTTGTCTTGTGTTTAACTAGTATGGATTCCAAGCTGGAGCTGCATATTCCAGGTTTGGTCTGACATAAGTGGTATACAGGGTCCTGAACGATTCCTTACATTAGTTTCTAAAGGCAGTTCTTATGATGGCCAGTCTAGCATATGCCGCTGATGATATCCTTTTGATGTGGGCCTCTGGGGATAGGGCGTGTGTGCTATCGTGATTGTTGCCTGTCCCATTGTTGATATGTTGTGTATGATTGTTGCCTGTCCCAAACCTGCACACAGAAATAACATCACATGAGACCAGAAGACATGGCAGGATGTGCAGAATACCTCCGTTGAAAAGCAGAGGTGCAACAGGTACTCTGAGGGAGAACTATCAACATCAAGGGCCCGAGACTGTTCAACACGCTTCCGCTACACATAAGGGACATAACAGGCCGAACCCTCACAGTGTTCAAGAGAGAACTGGATAAGCACCTCCAAAGGATACTTGATCAACCAGGCTGTGACTCATACGTCAGGCTGCGAGCAGCCGCGTCCAACAGCCTGGTTGATCAGTCCGGCAACCAGGAGGCCTGGTCGACGACCGGGCCGCGGGGACGCTAAGCCCCGGAAGCACCCCAAGGTAACCTCAAGGTAGGTCCCATTGTTGATCTGTTGTGTATGATTGTTGCCTGTCCCAGACTACAGCTGTTATGCATGATGATTGCCCGAGTGTCTTGATTGGAACACGTGTGTTTTTTGCATATTGGCACTGTTAGGGAAGCTGTGTCAGTGATTGGTTGTCAACAGTGTTAAGTTTTGTCCACGAGTGGACTGTGGTCGACTAGGTCATCCTATGTCTCTTTAGTGTGATAATAGCCTTGCTGACACCAATCAAGAGTAAATCAAGCACTCATCGTATTAGTAAAGTAATTGAACAAACAACAGAATGCTTCATGCGGTGTTAACATTGAACTACTTCTAAGTACTGCCTTTACTCATACTTAAGCCTTTAGCCCGATGTCCGTAACAACTAATTGCCTATTAGTCACTAAACTATAAATGTGACGAGGACCCAACGAGGTGTCACTTAAAGCGCTTCATTTTGCACTGAAGAGATTTCCATGACCAACTTTGATCAGGACCGGGTGAAGCAAGTGTTGGGGGGGGGGGGGGTGCACTATAGACCCTTATTCAACTGTACAGTCAGGCCCTCTGTGGCTTGCTCTCGTGTTTGATGATTCCCACAACTCTGTGGAGCGTTCGCCATATGCACATTGCTGACGTTGCATGCAAGTGCAGTCGTAAAAAACAATATTTCCACAACATTTGTTGAACTTTCAATGATTGGTGGACTCTGACTCCAAGGACCTGTATCGGTCTGCTGCAAGGTAACGTTGTTGTGATCTGAACTGTTATGCCCCACATGCAAGGTCTTGTATTTTCGGTATTAAAAAGCACTTTCCAGTCTTCCGACTATTTGTGGAGTCCCTGTCGATCTCTTAGTAAGGCCTCGATATCATTTTCACTTCCGGCTTGTGACATTTTGTGATACTGTCACCCATATTGTCCCTCGCCACATTGTGTTGTCCCACCTCATCTCTGACCAGTACGTTCTTCAGGAGAGTGCTACTTCACGGTTGCGTGGGACTGCGCGGCCACCTCTGACCACCCAGACACGCGTCACCCACACGCGACGGGGCTCAAACTCACCCATATCCCCACCCAAGACAAACTGGAAATGCCGCCACAACAGCGCGGAGCAAACACCTCCAGCGGCGAGATGTTAGAGACGCCTCGTTATCAGGGGACAACACTGTTAAGGGGACCCAGGACTAACCAGGTGCAGAAGTCTGAAGATGACGACGACGACGACGACGAGACACTAACAAGAGAGGGAGCCCTAGTGTACCTGGTGGAGGGCTTCCTTCCACCTGAACCCAAGGAGATGCTTAATGTCAGGTGGGTGATCGAAAGTGTTTACAAGTACAAATTAATTCATTTGGTTGAGGACGGGCAGCCTGTGTCTATATACATGTACATGTTAGGCTTGTATGGATGTCCCCTCCAAGGTGGAACTGCTGACCCTCCCCCAGGATGCAACCCCACAACAAACTAACTTATCTCCCCGGTACCCGTTTAGTTCTTCATTTCTTCATACGAGTCGGTAAAATCGTTTGTTTATGACTCGACATGAGCTTTGTTTATTGGTTAGCATTGATTTTTTTTTTTATTTGAAGATAGCACCAAGTGTTGACAACGATGGCGATCAGCACCAGTTGAAAGTAGACATTACAGTTGTTTTTGATTGTTGCTGCCCATTGTGCACCCCATACTCATCCTGTGAGCAGTAGTTCATTGTGTACTCCATACTCGTCCTGTGGGTGGTAGTTTATTATGCACCTGGTGCTACATATTCTATCAGTTACAATAGATTATACAGTGAGGTAATTTGTTTTATTAACTTAAAATAATGTTCACAATTGGATAGCGCAGAATAGTAGAAGAGTGGCTATTTATGATGTTAGTCTACACAGCATATACGCTCGTCATGTATATATGTTTCCTTCTATTACTAAAAACTAAATATGGATACAGTGCAGGAATTTCCTATATTTTATAATTTATGATAAAATAATTATCAATTTCATGCAACGTACATTTAAATTAATCTCTAAATGGTTAATTTTTTTGCGTAGTATGAAATGTAAGTATGTTGTGTGTGTCGTAGTGTACACACTTTACACTTGGCATTATCTTGAGTCCCATACAACCATCTGCCAGAGATACCTGTAGCCAAGTCGTATTCCAGCTGTGACAACTTCTCTTAGGCTATTGTCTGATTTACCCCATACACCAAAGAGCCAGAGCTTAACCCCCGTAAGCACAACTAGGTGAGTACACATGTTGCGTGTGACTCGTCTCATTGTGATGAACAGTGATGAGCTCTTGATGGTCCCTATTTGCACTCCTTCGCTTCCAATTTATCCGAGTTCTCGTCTAATGACACTTTTTAGAATTCTATTTGATAGCCTCGGATTATTTTCAACAATCTTTATATTTACTGCAAGCTTGGCAAGGTGTTGATGTCTAGTGTCCCTCCCTTTTATACAGCCATTGTTCTGGCTCTGTTTCTTCGGTGTTACTGTTAATGATCTTTATTACCTGCTTTCTGAATTACCAGACTTTCTTGTCGATCTTTGACTAAATACTGTATTTGAATCGTGTAATCGGGGCTGCTTGGAGTAGGTCCTATGGTACTCCTACTTCATACAGAGATTGCTGCTGAAGACTTGTGTCGACCCTCAGTATGAGGTTGAGTCCGGCTAAAGCTCTATTGCCGCTGCCCAATCCCGGGCGGGATCATTGATGCATGCCGTCATTGGTCTTCTCTTATTGGTTGCACTAAGTTATATTCCCTCCAGAACATAGTTGTCGGATAGGACGCAGAGCGTCACCTTGTAACCTGGTAACGGCTTCATAATACAAATTTATATATCCTATCACCCTAAACCGTATCTAAGGGCACTAGGAAATGATGTACCCGTCCTAAACCTTCCCTGAGGGCACTGGGGCAGGATGTACCCGCTCTAAACCCTCCCTGAGGGCAAGATGTACCCGCCCTAAACCTTCCCTGAGGGCACTGGGGCATGAAGTACCCGCTCTAAACACTCCCCGAGGGCACCGTGGCATCAAGTACCCGTCCTATACCCTTCCCGAGGACACTGGGGCAGGATGTACCCTATGGTAAACAATTTGTCGGGAGCTCCAGCCATGCATCCCCCCTCTCCCTGGTCGTGTCATGATGCTGCACGATGATGTACTGTTTACATTTATCTCCTTCCACACAGTGTTTTCATAGCGTATATACTGAGAATATACTCTAGTCCCTGACTACATCCAGGATTGAAGTATACTTGCTGGTTGGTCATTAAGCTATTGTGACGGATTAAATAACCCTCCAGAGGTTGATAAGCCTTAGCAACAAATGATGAATTCAGTGTGTTTTCTAAACACACTGGTACACATCTCTGCATGGTCGCCTCTGTATAACACACTCATGTTCAGCGCCACTCTCTCTCTCTCTCTCTCTCTCTCTCTCTCTCTCTATCTCTCTCTCTCTCTCTCTCTCTCTCTCTCTCTCTCTTCACACAAACTTATTAATGTCTGTTAATCCCTTCCACTCGAGTTCATTTTCAAACTAAGTGTCACCATGAGTGCTGTGTTCAATGTACTCGTTTCGAATTTTATTCTTAAGTGTTAGGCAATGTTCGAATTGTGAAGTCTGAATGCAGAAGGGGTCAAGATTAGTAGGGATCTAAAATAAAACATATTATGTACTCTCACAACCCAATATACCTTCTTGTATAAATACGTAAATAAATAAATAAATAAATAAATAAAATAAAATGGAAAATATATCGACCCATCCTCCTGTTTAAGTAGTACTTATAGTATCGATGTGGACCATTGTACATTTATTGACGTAAAAGGCAGTTAGAAAGTAGAAACCGGTACTATTGAATTTGGACGAACCGGAAATGTTTTTAGCTTACCTGAGAGCCACTAACAAAAATTTTCCGGATCAACATCCTCCAAATTGTTGAGTATTTCAAACGTTTCATTAAGATCCGCCCTGTCATGCCTGGTTTGCAGTGTTGTTAGCCCTGTGACCCTCGACCGTTCCTGATACGTGAGTTGACTTGGCTCTGGAATAATTTTTGTTGTCCGGTGTGGCACTTTCTCCAGAGCAGCAATATCCTTCTGAAGATGAGGTCTCCATGCTTAGATATAGTAATCCAAATGAGGGCGCCCCAGAGATTTATACAATTGAATCACGACCTTCTTTTCCTTAAGTCAAAAGTACGCTTGATTATTCTAAGTGTTTGGTTAGTTTTTTGAGTGCTGCCCCTACCTGCTGTGTAACTTTCATTGAATGATGGAGTTTGACTCCAAGGTCATTTTCTTCCTCAATCTGCTGTAATGTAAAGTTGTTAATTTGGTAGTTGTGGCGTGGGTTGTTATGCCCCACATGCAAGGTCTTGCATTTTCAATATTAAAAAGCATTTGCCAATCACCTGACCATTTGTGAAGTTCCTACAGATCTCTTTGTAATGCTTCAACATCATTATCATTTCCAACTTTACCATACATCTTTGTGTCAACTTCAAATTTGTGGTTGTGGTCTGTAATATGCTCATCTATGTCATTGATGTGTAATGACAAAAAGGGTTGGCCTTGTGGTACGTACCCCACTTATTACATTTCTCCAGTCAGATTTATTCCTATTTAACACCACTCTATTTTCTTTGTTTTAACCATGGTTTTATCCATTCTAGTATTCTTCCATTTATTCCATGTGCCTGTAATTTCTTTGCCAGTCTTTCGTGTGGCACCTTATCAAAGACTTTAGCAAAATCCATGTATACTGCATCAACCGGAAGTCCTTTGTCTGAGTAGCCGTTTATCGTTTCCAAAAATGTGAGCAGGTGTGTAAGGCAGGATCTATTGTGAGCAGGTGTGTAAAGCAGGATCTATTGTGAGCAGGTGTGTAAGGCAGGATCTATTTTTAACAAACCCACGTTGTGTCGATTTTACAAGATTGTTCACTGAAAGATGGTGAATGATTCTCTCCCTTAAGATTCTCTCCACGAGCTTCCATGAGCTTGATCTTTGTACTGATGTGGCAAAGAAAACCTGACCTAACCTTCTTAGGCCTAATAGAAATACTCACTGAGGCCTAATATAGTACATATATGTGCTATAGTCGGGCTAAGAATATTTAAGTTTGGTTTTTAGCGTTACCTTTTTCGACTATATAGTGAATAGTACCAAATTCTACTGTCTAATTGTCCATTACGTCTATAATAGTTATAATTAAGGTTCCATACATAGTCTATGTACGCTGGTCCACATAGTTACGGGAAGTACTATCTAAACAGGAATATGGGTTGAAATATAAATATATATATATATATTATATATATATATATATATATATATATATATATATATATATATATATATATATATATATATATATATATATATATACCTTTAAGCACCTTTTTGCATTATATTTTTGTATCAACCCATGTATATCTTGTAACCATCAAATGCATAATAAAGCACAAAAAATATTCAAGGAAGGGGGTGGTAGGAGAAAAGCACACAGAAACTGTATTGGAGGGGATCTAAACATTCCCTCTAATGCGTTATGCGTGGTTTCCTCCGAGGCTATGGGTCCCCCTTCTTCCAGCTAGAGGTGGTACTCCCTTCCATATTATATATATATATATATATATATAATAATATTATATGCGAACAAGCCTGAACGGTCTCCAGGCATATATGCCACTGAAAACTCACACTCCAGAAGTGACTTGAACTCATACTGCCAGAAGCAATGCATCTGATGTACAGGATCTCTTAACCACTCGACCAACACGACCGGTCAAAAGAGGATGGTAGCCGAGGTTATTTCCATCCCCCCGCCGGTACTCGGTTGCTAATCTTGGGCATGGTATTTTATCAAATCACCTCATTCTTTGGGGCACACGTGAGGAACACAAATGCGAACAAACCTGAACGGTCTCCAGGCATATATGCCCCTGAAAACTCACACCCCAGAAGTGACTCGAACCCATACTGCCAGAAGCAATGCAACTGATGTACAGGATCCCTTAACCACTCGGTTTAGGTCCTGGGCAGCGGGCTGTGGCAAGGCTCCTCTTGATGATATCGTTGACTTCTTCATGTTTTGCGATCTTACCCTGTGATTAACGACATACCAGACCATGATAACCATTTTGGTCTGCCATTGCTCTTTGGTAGATGCACCTGTGTTCGGTGAGGATGGGGGGCGGCAAGGTGTAGGGCAACTCTACTGCGGAGGGTGTCATGATTGAGGCGAATTCTGAGGGCTGAATTGGGCGACAGCAAATAAAAAATCCCCGGCATGGGGTGTTATTATCGCTAGGAGGTGGGCTTTGTTCTCATCAGATGCGTTTTAAAGCATTGTTGTGGCAGTCTTTTCCATTATGGGCCTATTCTCAGTGGGCCTGTTTGTGGTCTTTTGGAGCTTGTGGTCGGGGTAAGGGGTGTGTAATGGTTTCCCATTGACTGGCTTCTTCAGTGAACTTTGGAGTATGAGTTCCCACTGAGTTTCTCATACGCTCTGGTAGGTTCTTTCCTACCAATTCGTTGGCTGCTGTGCATGAGGATATGAATGCTGGAAGTGCTACCTCAGTTGCCTTTCGTATGCCTATTCCCCTGTTACTTGGTCCCACTGACTGTCATCTAAATCCAGATTAAGTGCCTTCCTGGCACTTAATATATTACTTAAGGAGCTCATCATATTGACTTAGTAGTAGGTTGCCAAACGTGGGTGCACACATTAAAAAGTACGTTATCCAGGGTAAGGTAAGGCACTTTGCAACAAGGTAGAGGGAATCATGGGAGTCCAAGTCCCCTATTCTCTCTTCCATCCTTTTAGACCATTAAACCTTTCTTCAAGTACTGCAGCAATGGCATTGTGCCCCAGAGGTGCTCCAAGTAGTGTGCTGTCAGTGAGTTCGATGACTGAGGCTTCTGGCAAAACTGATTTCGCTGCATTCACTGCGTTAATGACTACCTTGCTGGATGAAATAATTTCTCACTTAGAGAGGTTAAGAACGAGACCCAGGGTCTTTCTTTGTGACTTCACCAGCTGCAGGTCTTCCAGCAGGGAGTCTTGTGTGCCTGCCAGAGTGCCATCATCCAGAAACCAGATGTTAAACTCACTGGACAGTCTGCTTGTGATTTCTCGAACCGCTATGCAAAAGAGGATAGGTGCAAGGGGGTCTCCTTGATGAATTCCCTCTGCTGAAGTGACTTCTTGTTCGCCAAACAGAAGCGATGAATCTTTGTTGTATGTAACCTGCTGACACAGAGGGGAGAAGGCTTGGACAATGTTCCTGGACTGCGGTGAGGACTACTTCCCTTTTAATAGAGTTGAAACAATTTTGTAAATATAATTTTACTACGGCCTTGTGTTTGGTACGAGAACTAATGTAGATTCGTGCAGCTTGGGCTGCTGCTTCACAGCCTTGGGTGTGTGTGTGCGTGTGTGTGTGTGTGGGAGGGGGGGGAATAGCAGTAACAGTTGATTGTCAGTTGAGAGGCGGGCCGAAAGAGCAGAACTCAACTCCCGCAAGCACAACTAGGTAAATACAACTAGGTGAATGCACATAACAATAGGGGCGCCTGATGGCTGAGTGGACAGTGTTCTGGATGCGTAGATCTAGGGACCCGGGATCGATCCCGGGCCATGGTGGAAACAAATATGCAGAGTTTCTTTCACTCTGATGCCCCTGTTACCTAGCAATAACAGGTACCTGGGAGTTAGACAGCTGCTACGGGCTGCTTCCTACGGATGTGTGTGTGTGTGTGTGTGTGTGTGTGTGTGTGTGTGTGTGTGTGATGTGTGTGTGTGTGTGTGTGTGGAGAAAATAAAAATCCGTTGTTTGATTGACAGTTGAGAGGTGGGTTGAAAGAGCCAGATCTCAACCCCTGCAAGCACAACTAGGTGAAACACACACACACACACACACACACATACATATCAAAAGTTTAAGAGATGTGTAAATATTTCATTCAAAATGATCTGCTGCCAGAAATCTTGACTAAATATCCCCAATTTGCTAACTGTAGGTAATATCTGAGTGATTGTAACCTATCCACTGCTGCTCACTGGATGGGGTGGGGGTGGGGGGGGGGGGGGGGCAGCGGTGTGTAGGAAAAACATATCAATTGTGGCACTGGCTCTCCACGCCAAATGTCCCCAGTTTGCTGACTGTAGGTAGTAGTGAGTGATTGTAACCTATCCACCGCTGCCCACTGGATGGGGGCGGTGTGCAGGACAAACATATCAATTGTGACACTAGCTGTCCACATATGTCAGTTGCTTAATTTAGAAACTGTACTTGTGGTCGATCTCGAACCCATTGTTGATGTGACGACTTATACTGAATTTTGTAACTAGCTCATCAAGATTGTTACTTGCTTAGCTAAATGAATTGTGGGGTTCAGTCCCTGAGCCCATTATGTGCCTCTGTAACCCTTTCCACTACCGCTCACAAGATGCATAATAAATGAACTAAACTAACTCTCCACATCACATATGTCAGTTGCTTAAATTAGAAAATGTACTTGTGGTCGGTCTTGAGTCCATTGTTGATGTGACGGTGTGCATTAAATTTTGTAACTAGCTCATCAAGATTGTAACTTGCTTAGGTAAATTAATTATGGGGTTCAGTCCCTGAGCCCATTATGTGCCTCTATAACCCTTTCCACTATCACCTACAAGATGAGTATGGGGTGCATAATCAATTAACTAAACTAACCTTTCATTCACTGTACACTTCAGTCATGTCAACCATAACTGTTAGGAGGAATGGTTGGACTTAATTGTGTGTGTGTTGGCAGCCTGGTGTGTGGAGGTGGGGAGGTGTGTTGGGGGGCGTGTCCCCCACCCTGGACGCTGCCCTGCTTCTGGCTCTACGTCCTCCTCCTGCTGGTGGGCCAGGTCGTCGCCTCCACCGTGGAGTCCATCTCCGACGCCATCTGCTGTGACACCATCGGTAAGTGGTTGTGACCATTATGGTGGGTGATAGTGAGGCTCACAACCCCCCCCCCCCCCAACCCCATCCCCCGCACTACCACCCACCATAATACACCCATTGGAGCTGTGTTTCGTCTGTTATATAATTTATCTCCAAATATTCTACAATAATGTTTTCTGGTGATTTTTTTCTAGAATCTTTCGTGTAATGTATGTTAATGACACTGGTCCATATAGTTTAGTGTTTTATGTCTCTGCAGGCTTTCCCCCCCCCCTCTCTTCCCACCAAAGGTGACGTAATTAAGCAGGTCTAGAATTGTTGTGATAAGTGGAGTACAGTTGTCTGCTGACACATATATGGAGCACTTAGTGTTCGATAAGATTAATGCCAACTTCAACAAGTCATGACTCTGGGGACACACACACACACATACCATATGCTTTACACCTCCCACTAGTGCTCTATAAATTTTATCTCTCTCTCTCTAAGACTTGGGTTCATAGGGACTGTCAAATGACGTGTCTAATGAAGCTGCATGCGAGAGCTGTTATCCTACCTCAGCTCATCTGAAGCCTGCTCCTAGAAACTCATTTATTTCATGAGAATATACCTTGAAACTATTACATAGGGAACTATCATATAAGGAACCTGATGAACTGCAAGCAAGAGCTGTAACCTGCCTCAGCTCAGTTGAAACCTACTCCTAGAGGCCCAGTTATTTCATGAGCCTATTATATGCATCAGTAGGAATAGCCTTTATTCATTAACAACATTAGGTAACAATCATATAAGGAACAGGATGAGCCTGTAACCAACTGTGCCAAAGCCTTCATATGTGATCAGTTAACCTGATCTCCCGTGTATCAACCTGTTGAGCAAACAAGTTACAGATGCGAGTCAGCCTAGGACTGAGTGATCGCTGATGGAGTGATGTTCTTGAGAAAGGCAGTTCCAGCATGAGACTGTTGAAGGTTGAGAGCCTAGTGCCACGGGTGGCAACTACTAGTACTCCACGAAGTTGGACCAGATGCGGAACTTTAAGGATGTTGACCTTGTACATGACAGTAAGATCACCAACGTCACGACGGTGTTGTAAGCTCTGATATTCAGACCATTCCCAGCAGACTTGGTCAAGACTAGAGATAAGCCTTCTTGTCCATCTCTCCTCTTTGTCCAACAGTCTGATGAATGATGGGAGGGCGGGGGATCCAGGAAAGGGGTGCATACTCTAGATGAGAATGAACCTGTGCTTCATAAGGCTTTGCAGCCCTTGCTGTCAAGAGGGTGTGAGATGTGCCGTAGGGCTATAAGTTTCCTGGCTGCCTTTTGAGCTAAGTTAAGCACATGGGTCTTCATTGTCATTGAAGAGTCCAACTTCATTCCCAAGATGTTTCCCAAGATGTTTCATTTCCTAAGATCAGATATTATGTACCTCGCCCTGCCCTGGTGACGCTCTATTACACTCTCATCTATCCTTATCTCAACTATGGTATTTGTGCTTGGGGTTCTACTACCCAAAATCATTTATGTCCTCTAATTATTCAACACAAAGCTGCTATTAGAACAATATCTAACTCTGGCCCCAGACATCACTCGGTACCCTTACTCAAATCTCTGAATATGTTAGATATTAAGTCACTGCACATCTTATCATGTGTACTCTATATATTTAAAACTCTGAACTGTAATGTCAATCATGACCTTAAAAGCAAGAGTACGACTTGATCAATCTAGAAATGCTCTACAAATCAAGGGACCCAGAATGTGGAATGACCTTCCCAATCATGTCAAAGGCTGTACCTCTCTCAACCAGTTTAAGATAAAAACTAAATACTACCTAATAAACTCCATGTAACCTACCTCACCCCTAAATGTCAACCCATGTTGAGTGTCTTCCTGAATATTGACTTAGCTCATCATATTGACTTAGTAGTAGGTTGCCAAAAGTGGGTGCACACCTTAGAAAGTACGTTATCCAGGGTAAGGTAAAGCACTTTGCAAGAAGGTAGAGGGAATCATGGGAGTCCAAGGCCCCAGCTATTCTCTCTTCCATCCTTTTAGACCATTAAACTTTTCTTCAAGTACTGCATCAATGGCATTTTGCCCCAGAGGTGCTCCAAGTAGTGTGCTGTTACTACCAAGTAATGGGTTCGATGACTGAGGCTTCTGGCAAAACTGATTTCACTGCATTAATGACTACCTTGCTGGATGAAATAATTTCTCACTTAGAGAGGTTAAGAATACCTCTGGGTATTCCCTGGGATACCCAGGGTATCTCCTTGTGACTTCACCAGCTGTGGGTTTTCCAGCAGGGAGTCTTATGGGCCTGCCAGAGTGCCATCATCCTGGAACCAGATGTTAAACTCACTGGACAGTCTGCTTGTGATTTCTCGAACCGCTATGCAAAAGAGGAAAGGTGCAAGGGGTCTCCCTGATGACCTTACTATTTTAAACAATGCTGTTTGTTGATCAACTTCTATAATTGCTATTTTCTGCCATTTCCCCCCGCCCTCCATGTTCATTTACTGAGCGATTAATGATTCTAGGATTTTGCCAGTAATGGAGAGCAGTGACACTGGTCTGTAGTTACCAACCACTGAGTGGCGGCTCTTTTTGTGTACTGGAACAACGTCTGCCTTCTTCCATAAGGAGGGCCAAATTCCTTGAGCTAGGCAGAGTTAGAAGAGGCAAGTGAGAGGCGGAACCTTATCTGGCCCCACAGCTTTGCTTGTGTCTAGCTTTTTAAGGAGATGAAGAACTTCAGCCTGCCGTATAACCACTTCAGTCATCCTAGACACAGTGTTTGGGGCAAGATGTGGAGGCTGACGTTCAGGATCAGGGACTTGCATTTTGGCAGCAAAGTGGTTTGCCAGTAGATCATCCTTCTCCTGATTGCTGGTTGCCACAGTACCATCCTCTCGGTTTAGAGGCGGGATTGTGTCCTCAGATGAGTATCCCTGTAGATCCTTCACCAGAGACCACAAGACCTTGGATCCAATCCTTCCAGATACAAGTTTTCTTCGAGTTTCGGATTCCATCTGGATATAGCCCACTTTTGAACTTCTTTCATTATTCGACAAGATTGTATATGAATGTTTCTGTTATGAGCCGAGGGATGCCGTTTAAATCTCCTCTTGGCCTTAATTGTTTTTGGCTTCAGCTGCCATCCGGCAGCGATATCCAGACCAAGGCTAATCAGTAGGCTTGGTCACATACTGCCGGTGAGGGCTATGCCTATACGAGTTTTTACATTCTTGTACAAGCACTGGCATGCATTTCTTTTATTAACAAGCTTGGGTATACACGGCAATGTGCTGCTAACCCTATTCTATCTGAAAGATTACACAGTGTAGATAAAAATCTAGCACGCATAGCATTTCGGGCAGGTCCTTAATCCTATTTCCCCCCCCCCCCCCCAGAATACGACCCGCCAGATCGTTTAACAACCAGGTACCCATTCACTGCTGGGTGAACAGAGGCTTCAGTTAAGGATTGACGCCCGGTCAATCCTCCCAGGCCAGGATACGAACCCAGGCCAAAGCCCTCGCGAAGCGCCAAACACGAATACTTTACCACTACGCCCTGGGGGACTGCCAAACCCTGTTGAGGGATGCATCCTGGATGAGAAAGTCGGTGGTTGGTTTAGGATTGGGAACCTAGATAATCCTAAGTACAGGCTTCCTGTACTCCCCTGACAGGAATTATTACAGTGTAACAGCCCGGCAGGTGTGGACGGCGACTATGGGCGCCAGCGGGTGTGGGGCGCCGTCAGCTACGGCCTCCTGGGGGTGGGGAGCGGCCTTCTGGTGGATTGGTGGTCAGGGGATAAGACCACTAAGAACTACACTCCTGCCTTCCTCCTCACCGTCGCCTGCGGTGTCTTGGATATCCTCATCTCCGCTACGTGCCTCAAGGTGAGTGTTTAGGGACCATCTGTCTCAAGGTGAGTGTTTAGGGACCATCTGTCTCATGGTGAGTGTTTAGGGACCATCTGTCTCATGGTGAGTGTTTAGGGACCATCTGTCTCATGGTGAGTGTTTAGGGACCATCTGTCTCATGGTGAGTGTTTAGGGACCATCTGTCTCATGGTGAGTGTTTAGGGACCATCTGCCTCAAGCAGTGGGTTTAGGGGCCATCTGCCTCAAGCAGTGGGTTTAGGGGCCATCTGCCTCAAGCAGTGGGTTTAGGGGCCATCTGCCTCAAGCAGTGGGTTTAGGGGCCATCTGCCTCAAGCAGTGGGTTTAGGGGCCATCTGCCTCAAGCAGTGGGTTTAGTGGGCCATCTGCCTCAAGCAGTGGGTTTAGGGGCCATCAGCCTCAAGCAGTGGGTTTAGTGGGCCATCTGCCTCAAGCAGTGGGTTTAGTGGGCCATCTGCCTCAAGGAGTGGGTTTAGTGGGCCATCTGCCTCAAGGAGTGGGTTTAGTGGGCCATCTGCCTCAAGGAGTGGGTTTAGTGGGCCATCTGCCTCAAGGAGTGGGTTTAGTGGGCCATCTGCCTCAAGGAGTGGGTTTAGTGGGCCATCTGCCTCAAGGAGTGGGTTTTAGTGGGCCATCTGCTCCCCCTCTCAGTAAGGTAACCTGGATGTAGTTCTGGGAGTTCTACTACTCTCCAAGCCCGGCCCTTGACCCCAAAAGTTTGGTGTCAAGTAAGTTTGACATCCATTAAGTTTTCGGGTGTGCTACTTATCTCAACTTGCAGAAACTTTGCAACCTTTAGGGTGTTGTGGCTGACCCTGGGGTGTTGGGGGCAGGCCCTGGAGGGGTTGGGAGGGATCCTGGGGTGTTGGAAGGGATCCTGGGGTGTTGTGCATGACCCTAGGGGTGTTGCAGGGGTGACTCTGGGTGTGACTGGGGATGTTGGGGGCCCATTGCCTCAAGCAGTGTTTAGGGGCCATCCGCCTCGAGCAGAGTGTATGGGGGTCTGCTGCTTATCTCAATGTGCAGAATCTTTGCAACCCCTTGGGGTCTTGTGGCTGACCCTGGGGGGGAGAGGGAGGGATCCTGGTGTGTTGGGAGGAATCCTTGGGTGTTGGGAGGAATCCTTGGGTGCTGGGAGGAACCCTGTGGTGTTGAGAGCGATCTTGTGGTGTTGGGATGTATTGCAGGGTGTTGTGAGGGATCCCTAGGATATTGGCAGGTGCTGAAGGGGGTGTGTTGAGAGGGACCCTGAGGGTGATGATAGGGACCCCTAGGGTGTTGGATGGAACCATGTGTCTTTGGGAGAGAGCCAAAATCACTGTACTACCCCCATGCTTCCTGATCACTAAACTGCCTGTATATCTATTCCACAGGTCCCCAGACTGAAGGATGGTACCGAAGTATGGAAAGAACTGAAGCCGCTTCTTCACCAGATTCACTTCCTAGTCTTTCTATCCCTCGCCTTTCTCGTCGGATTCTATGATGGCCTCGACACAGGATACGTCTTCGTGTAGGTATCTCTTACATCCTGTAGGATGGTCATGGACACAATTTATGCCACAGTCTCAGATGTGAGATGTTTTGGTTATTTAATTAATGCACTAAGCCGATCTCTTGAAAGACTGGCTGAATGATTGATCTTGTATGTATTTAATTCAACATCTGTCACTGATTGAATGATGATGTGGGAGGATGGTTTGAGTAATTAGCTGTGAAATAGCTAATTTATTTGTCGGGTGGGAGGGTACATTTTGTATGAATAGCTGTAAATAATTGATAGGGACATTTCTAAGTGTTATTTAACTTGAGGACTGACTAAACGAGTGTCCACTTAACGAGTGGACAGAACTCCCCAAGTGAAAATTAGCAAACGAACATGACTTCATGTTGCCACGCCACTGTCTGCACAACCCCCCCCCCCTCCCATTCCCTGGGAGGAGGCGCCCCAGACCCCCACGCCAGCGATGCACCCTGCAGTTCTTAGGCTGGATGTCAAAATACGCAAAAACACTGCCGACCGGAGGAAGGGAGGGATGCCAGGGAGCCTCGGGACTCACCCAGAAAATGGTGTTTGATTACATTCAACGCTGGTTTTCTAGGGGGGAGCTCTGTCAGCTCCCCGGAGCTAACTACCCAAAGAAAAGAAAAAACAGGGACTTATCCGAGCGGCGGTCAGTCCTCATTCCTCAACGCGAAGCCGAGACAACTGGTTGCAACCGCTGACCCAATGCAACGCAAGCCCTACGTTCAGGGACATTGACAAGGTAGCGAGGGACCAGGACCCTGTTTGACCTCCAAAAACCCTGTGCCCGAATGTTAACCCAAGACATATTGCCAAACATGGCAGCCAAGGCAGCAAACTTATGCACGTTGTGGGCACGAGGATAGACCCACAGGCTGGCTAGCCTTAATAATCCTGCGGATGACCTGGGAGACCCTAACCCGGGAATAGGAAAGAAGGGAATCTGGATCAACCCACAGCGCATCCCTGACCACCAAAGCTGTGGCGCACAAAGACGGCTACATCCAAACAAACCTACCACGAGGACCAAAAGTGCAGAAACCACTACGCTGGAGGAGAGCATGAAGCTCCCCGACCCAACCCCCAGAGGCCAATGCCAACAGGAAAAAGAGCCTTGGAAAAACAATGTTGTATCGAAGGGGTCACCACAAACCAAGGAGAAGAGAGGAAAGAGAGCACCAGGTCCAAGGACCAGGATGGCTCAGGCGACGCATGAGCAGGCCAGAGGTTAAACAACGCACGAGACAACTTGCGAAACGGAGCAGACGTAACATCATTACCGAACGCAAGCTGAAGCAGCTCCGCTAGCACCGCACAATAGGAGGGGACAGTACTCGGCATAAGATGACAGTCCTGAAACAACCACGACAGGAAGGACGAAACAACCCTATCAGAGACCGAAGTACACCTACACAGTGATAGGAAGAACCGGAAGGACTGCCAGGAAACCTCATACTGCCACCAAGACGTAGCATGCAGATGGAAGACCAACAACGAAGCCACCTGCGCCCCATACAAATGGTGATAGACTCGACTCAGAAAGACCAGACATGAAGACTCGAGGAGAAGAGCAAACCAGCTTCATAATGGGCAGGACCGACCTCCTGAAGGAGGCAGAGCAGCGAGAAGACCCCTCGGGTTCAGACACCGAGCAAGCAGCTCTTGAAACCAAGGCTGGGCCGACCACCAAGGGGTCAAGAGGACTACTCTTCCCTGGTACGTCTCCAAGCAAGCCAGGACTTGGAGCAACAGCTGAACTGGGAAAAGAGGTACAGGTAACAACACCAGTCCTGCCTGAAGGCATCACCCTCGACAGCCTCGCAGTCGGGGAAGGACACCATGTATACCGGGAGATGCCTCGACCTTGCCAACACAGAGAGATCAACTTCCAGAGGCTCGAACATCCGCAGGACATTGGACACCCCCTGAACGTGAACTGCCAGGAGAGCCAAACCCCGAGAACTCAGCAGACGAGTCACCCAAAGCGACCAGCCCCAAAGAGCCAAGGACTGCATAGAATCCCTGTGGTTAAGGCAACGAACCACCAGGGAACAGTCCGAATTGAGTGGGACCGTCGATCCGCGAGAACGATTCGGCATCGATCGTCCATCGTGAAAAGCAGGTGCGCCACCATGACCCGAGCATAGCAAGTGAAAGCGCGAGGCGCCAGATTCAAGCAGAGTGGTAGGAAACGAAAGTGGTAACCTTGATGTCCCACCACAAAACCGAGCCAGGCCCTGAACCGTGGATGAATCGGGACATGCCAATACGCATCCCGGAGGTCCAGGGACTCCATCCAAGCACCCTGCTCCAACAGAAAACAGATCTGGGATAGAGTAGTTATCCGAAAAGAGGGGCAATAAACCCACGGGTTCAGATGAGACAAGACCAGAATGAACCGGAGGTCCATGCAGTCCCGTTTCGGAACTGGAAACAGGTGGGAGATCCACCCGAGGGACAAGGAATTTCCACCACGCCCAAGCGAACTCACTCCGAGACGACTTGACAGAGCGCAGAAGAAGAGGCCCACCCCGCCAGCCCTGAACCCCCAAAGGAGGAGGAGCCACCCAACCCCACCACAGGCCGCATGAAATGACCCGAAAGGCCCACGAATCGTAGGACCAGGCACTAGCAAACATAGCGAGCCTCCTCCCCTCCCCTCACCATTCCGTCAATGGGAAGAACTGCTAAAGGGTCAACGCACCTTACGAGCACCCAAATGTCACAAAATGCGATCCCCGCACCAAACAGAAACAGACAGCACCAAAGGCTGCACCGGTGCTGAACCTGACACCACTGGCCTACCACAAGAAAAAGAACTCCGAGCCCTGGCATGACCCCGAGGGGACGGTCCCCCACGAGCCCCGCAGAGGCTCAACAATTCCGATATAGAACGGCAACTAGCCGAAGCCACCTGCAGATACTGCATCACCGCAGACTCTGCAAACAGCAACGGACAAAAGGGCGAAGACAATCTAAGAACCAGGGCCCAAGCGGATTCCAAAGAAAAAGCGAGCATCACCTGCCAACACATGAGCCGAGAAACAAAACAAAACGCGAAACCACATTCCGCAGGAGCAGCACAAACAGCTTCAACAGCGCAGACAACGCATGTCCCGCCAGAGGCAACGCACCAGACCCAGAGGCAACCCCAAGCTCCTCCACATCCACTGCAAGCCAGTCCAAAGACAGCTCAAGAAGGAAGAAGAACCACAGGGCCGAAGCCAGCTCAAGGAGGGAGAAGAACCGCAGGGCCGAAGTCAGCAGACCCCGCATATGCAAGTTTTCCGCGACCAATGCAGCCGAAAGGGAATGAACCTGCACAAAAAGCTGCATCACACCAACATCCCGCGGAAGGGCAGGGGCGAACAAGCACTCATTGAGATGCTCAAATGAACCCCCCCAGGAAAACCAGCAATGCTGTCTGAGCCATCCTGGAATTCAAAGGTGCAGGACCGACAGAACGTATGCCACACCTCCAAAGAGAAGAAAGGGCAGTCTGCTAACCAGGACAACTCTGGAGCTTCGTAACGAACCCAGTAAGGACACGAAGATCCATACACAAAGGAACGCAGATTCGGGACGTGGATCAACTCGAGGATCCGGGGCCGAGCCGTCCTCCACACCCCCTGCCTCTAAAGAAAAGGCAGCAGCAGCCGAAACAGCAGGAACGAAAGGGGCCCACTGGTCAGATCCAGAAGCTCTGACAAGAGGACCAGGCTCGAATGCCTCTGCCACCACCCCAAAAAGGGGCTTCCCTGAGATTGCCCGAGTCTCAACACCAACTAAACCCTGCCCTGATTCTGAAACCCTCAGACACTTCAGAGCCAGAAGCAAGGGGGGAGGAACCAGGTGGACAGAACCAGAAGGGAAAGGACAAGGGGGGAGAGGACAGAACCAGAGCTGAAGCTACTCCCACTCCTAAGTCTGGGTCCCTAAAACCAGAACGAGGCAGTCTCGGGGCATCCAGGGAAGCAACTAGCCTAGTGTGTTGCAGCAATCTAAACCTAGCATGCAACGCAGCTGTCGCCTACACCCTCATATCATGATCAGTAACTTGGGTGAACTGGACCACGTACAGGCAACAAACGTCACATGACTCTGGGTCAAAAGAATCAATTTTTAACAAGAATAGGGGTTTGTTTTGGGGCGCCTACCTTTCTGGGTGCCAGATCTGGTCGATGGCAGACATAGAATGCTCCCAACCACAGGAAGGGGGGTCTCTGTAGGCCATTGCTCTTCGTGCCTCTCTTGAGGGGGCCAGGTTCTGGCTCATGGTCCCCGGTAGGCAAGAACTTTGTGCACATTGCCTGATGCCAGAAAGTGATACACATCCATTCAGCCTGGATAGCTCTGGGGAATCGACGGGGCTCTCCCCAGAAAAGGTTGATTTTCATCCTCTAGAAATATGAAGAATGTAGATACATGATTAAAGTACAGTACAGTATATAATTGGATGAAAGTGGTATAATAAAGGGGATATAAGTAAAGTTTTAAGTACCATATATCAGCACAAAAATAAATCTTTTAAATTGGATAATTTCAGATTCAGGAAAGACTTGGGTAAGTGTAAAGCAAACAATAGGCATCATCTTTAAGCTCAACAAGTCACAATGTAGGACAGAACACGGATGCTTTTTCACCCTTAGCGTAATAAATACGCGGACTCACCAACAAAATTCCTATGGAATAATAGGGAACCTTTGACAAGCTGCAGCTTTCTGTCCCCATCAAGCCACTAGAAAAGGTGGTCCTTGGATAAATTTAAAGAATAATACCAGTTTGAAAATAGTAAAATTGATTTATGAATCCCTGAATTAATTTAAGGATGGGTTAGCCATGTCTATGGCTAACTGATTGGCTATCTAACTATGGCTATGTCTCTATGATTAAGTTTTAGGTGGATATAAATAGGACCTTCCTTGTATTTTATTATGTTCTCACACTTTTTTTTTTTTACTGACGGTGGTCTTACAGGCTGCAGGAGGACATGGCAACAGGACGTGCTGTCATGCAACACATGAAGTTTATCCAGGGCCTCACCATGCTGGTCCAGGCCCTCTCATGCATTCCCTTCATGTTTCTCTGTGGTGAGTGGATGCTAGCATATTTCTTGTATAAAAAGCAATTGGCAAAATTTGTTAAAGGTAGGTAGGCCTCTGAATACACACTGAAGCAGAACATTTACTGGAGTTAAGATAAAAAAAAAAATGTATTTATTACATGCCTAACTTTAGATTCTTTTGACAAAATGTTCCATATTTTGTTTCTTTATGTCAACATGGATTTTCCCTATATACCGTATATATGTATATACCATATACATCAGTCACATCAAAGATATATTTATTTCATGCAAGAGAATGTGTGATCAAAAGGCTTGTGCATTTATTAGATTTAGTGGAGATAAGATTTACACATGGTAAATATATAATTGAGCACAATTCTGTTGGCCATATAAACAATAGGTGCTCTTCAATGTTCATGTTTGCTCTCGGGGTAACAAATGGTCTTCCAACAGACTGCTCAAACTTGCCACAACACTACCTGAACTTGATCTAAACTCCAGTCGCTCTCAGTGTGGCCCATTGGCAGCCCCAGTGTTCTCTCTAATACTGTATGTTTACGTTCTAAAATTGTTTTAAGCAAATAGACCTTGAAATACATGCATTCTAGAGCCATCCTGGAACATATACACACTAGAGAGCACAGAGGTGGTCATATGGCCCATGTTAAGAACTGCCGGTCTAGACCACCCACTCCACATTTATGCTGTGATTCAAGCCAGAAAACTAAGAGTAAAAGTACATAACAGAAATTACTTTCTCCCATTAGACTGGTTCGTGAAGAAGCTGGGGTCCCACAGGGTGATCGCTCTGGTGCTCTTCCTCTATGCCATCAGACTGGCTGGATTGGCCCTAGCGAGCAATCAGGGTCTTGTCTGGGCTACAGTCATGATAGAGCTCATTAATGGACCATGTTTTGGCCTGGGTTTCACAGCTGTAGTTGTTCATGCTTCATCCATCACACCAAAGGGCACCTCCAACACCGTCCAGAGTGTAGTCAGTGTCTGCTACGGTACATTAGGTAAGGCGTAGTCTTTGTGTTTTTGGCAAATTGCAGCATTGGTACTGCATGTAGCCATTTCAATTTGTACTGTACTAATATAATATATATTTATTAATTAATCCATCATTATATTCCTCAGGTTATGCTGGTGCCAGTTTTGTGGGTGGGATTATATATGAATGGTGGGGGGGCGAGATGCTTTACCTGGCTACCAGTGTCCTGGCAGCCATCACCTGCCTTCTTCACCTGGTCTATATAAAGTTCTTCCCACACACTCCAGGTGAGTGCTTCCCCAACACCCTCCACCTACTGTGTAATGCTTCTCTACTTTGCTGAACTTATATAAATGGTCTTGTACATCTATGCTGATTTAAGAATAATAGTTTTCCATTTTATTAGGCATTTAATATGCAGTAATGAAGTAAAACATTGAATTATTAGAATTTATAACTTTTGAACCATTATCCTTATGCAGCATATATGCACATACATTTGGTGAAATTAACAAAATAAATATTTAAATAACGAGAACAAAGTAATTTGTTAATGCATTTTTTAAAGATATTTTCTCTATTATTTCATACAAAATTTCACCAGTGGTACTTGCTTATTTAATGATTAAAAATAATGGATAAAAAATTATATTTCTGCATATAGCCCATTAATGTAATAGATATAATGGTTTCCCATTTTTGGGGAATAGTAAGTGCGTTAGGTTAATCCAGGTATGACGAGGGGACAGAGTTTATGGAAATGTGACTGAGGGTAAATAAAGGACCGATATTAAGAAAGAGAACTGACGTGCCAACCCATCCTCCTGAAATGAGAGTACTGGGTACTTATTGGTACTCTCCACTAAATGCTTACTGTATGTCTTGATGGACCACCAGAAAGTTGACATTTGTGTTACTGAATTTAGACAAACTAAACTTTTTAGCCACAACATAAATAACCTAACCTAGCAATACTAGACCTAATATATGCTTTCTTAGGCTTATTATGGTGCATTTATGTGCTATACTAGGCCTAGGAATGTTTAAGTTTGGTTTTAGCTTTAATTTTTCTGAACTCTTATCAAATAAGGACAGTAACTAGGAATAGAACAGTAGAACATTTTGAGATTAATTTTTGTACTGGAAGACAATTTGGATTCAGAGAGGCAACAGCATGCTTAACTTTATTTAATTCTATGAGAGTAACTAAAATAAAACAGAAATAAGGACTTGTAGACAGCTTTTTAACTCGTTAACCCTCGGTTCAACCTGTTCTCTCCCCTAATATGCCATATTTTTTATGGAATGGATCTGTCCGTTAAAAATGTGACATACAATATTGTATTTACAATACAAATGACTAATGCACAAAATGGAGACAAATGGGGATAATGAGTTAGATTCTGAATTGAGTAAGATAGTATCTGATGTAAGGAAAGAAAAGGCCGTAGTCAAAATATGATAAGCTATAGAGGTGTGGAAAATGGTGTCACTCGAGGCTCTATTGTATGTTTTTTTGCCGTTTCTAATTTATGTTAAAAACCTACCAGAAAAGGTGAGCTAATATTGTAAAAGTTTAGAGCTAATGCAAAGTTAAAAAAGAGAGAATGTACTGAGGATAACTGAAAAGTAGTGCTGCAGGAAGACTTAAAAAACTTTAGGAGAGGGCAGATAAATCAATGCTGCAATTTAATCCAAACATGTGTAAGGTAATGCATAAGGGAAAGGTGATAGGAAATCTGTAGGAAACGACAACAAAATAAGCAAATGAAAGAAACAATAAGAGAAAGACATGATATGGATATAATTTCAGCACAAATACCAGAAGCTTGTGTAAACAGGATAACATCAGCAGTATAGTTGAAGCTGGCAAACACAAGAACATCACCTAAAATCAGAGTAAGGTGGTTTTCAAATCCATATATATATAGCCTATGTGAGACCAGTTTAGGGGGTATGCAGTGCCAGCATGGAGTCTGCATTTTGTGAAGCACTAAAAGGAAACTTGAAAAAAGTACAGAGACTTGCAATTACAGTAGACTAGTACATTACCTGAATTGAGAGGACTCTGATATAAGGCTAGATTAAGGGAACTTTATTACATAACCTTTGAGGGGAAAATAAATGGAGAATATGATCAATACTTACAAGATACTAGGGGAAACCTATTTAAATTGAGAGGCAAGATATGAGGACATTGGCAAAATGTTTATACAGATTTGAGTCTTAGAGATGTGAGAAATTTCTTGTATCATGTACAGATGGTTGGTAAAATGGAATGAATTAAAATAAAGAAGTTGTTGAAGCCACTTCCATCCACAGAATGTGACCAAACTTTACTGCCAAGAGATGTAATAACCACACCAAATTTTTCTGGCCAGTAGGCAGGGCATACAGCTAGATCTCACTAATCTGTAGTAAATGACAGACAAGCACTGATGCCCTCCAGGGAGTTTCCATACACTAACCCCTTCAGGAAGTGTTTCAAAACACTCATACTCTTTACACTGAAGTCCTGCAGATGTGTCATATGCATACCGGGTCGATACCTGGTTGATGGGGTTCTGGGAGTTCTTCTACTCCCCAAGCCCGGCCCGAGGCCAGGCTTGGCTTGTGAGAGTTTGGTCCACTAGGCTGTTGCTTGGAGCGGCCCGCAGGCCCATATACCAACCACAGCCCGGTTGGTCCAGCACTCCTTGGAGGAATAAATCTAGTTTCCTCTTGAAGATGTCCACGGTTGTTATATATGCATATTCCATATAGATCCTACCATATGCTGAATATTTTATATTTCAATTACAGTATATATTTTTAGGTTAAAGTGTTTGATGATATTTTTGCCTGACCACATTAAAATACAGTAATACTTTTTGTGCTTTGTAATTATATTACATAGTTGAATATTGTTTCTTAGTGGATTTTCTCTCATCTCCACAGCACCAACTTGTTTTATCTCTTTATGCACAGAAGCTAAGGAGCTGGGATTGGAGGCAGTTGGAGAACAGGACTTAAAAATACTTCTGGAAAGAAAAGCAGTAGAAGCAGCAGCAGCAGCAACAACAACTACCACTCACACTACAATTATAGGAAGAGACCTGGAGGAACAGGATCAATGTGGGGTGGAGAGAGAAGCACTTCTGCAGGACATAGGTTCAAAAATACTAGTCACAGGAAGTGTGGAAAAGGTGGAGATGACATTGGAGGAATTAAGGTCGAAGGGAAAGGAGGAGGGCAGGGAGGGGGAAGTGTAAAAATTATGAAATACAGAATGTGAAATTGAATGTGGGGATAAAGGCAAAGCAAAACAGGACACTAGAAATGGCAAAGACAGATTACAGAATGGAACACAAGATAAGAGGGATTATATACCCGTACACAGAACTTGAGCAATGTTGAAAGGATAGGTGTGGTGGGGAAAGGAGGCCTGGTCAGAGACTTGGCCATGGGGACTTGGACTCCTGGAATCGGAGCAAGGTAACCCCACTAAGCATATAAAGAACGGTGCACAATTAACAGGGAAAATAAAATGAACACAACTCTGAACATATGTAGAATGTGAAACAGAGCGTGGAAAATATTTTTGGATTATGTAAATATGTACACAGTGAGCAAGGAACAGAATCTGGAAAAAGAGTAAAAGACACAGGAAGCACCAATCCTAGCTTTAGGATAAGTTTTTTTTTGTTTTTTTATATAGATACAAGAGTTCTTACATTCTTGACCAGACCACACACTAGAAGGTGAAGGGATGATGACGTTTTAGTCCGTCCTGGACCATTCTCAAGTCAATTCTTACATTCTTGTACAGCCACTAGTATGCCTAGCGTTTCGGGCAAGTCCTTAATTCTATGTTCCCTGGAATACGACCCCCACGAAGAATCATTTTTACAACCAGGTACCCATTTTACTGTCGAGTTAAACAGAGGCTACAGTTAAGGATTTGCACCCAGTAAATCCGCCCCAGCCAGGATACGAACCCAGGACAAAGCGCTCGCGGAACGCCAGGCAAGCATCTTACCACTACGCCACGGAGACTGTAAGTAAGAGACTGAGGAGCTGTGAGTGTCAATAGACATACTGTACTGTTGTTTAGTTCTATTGTGATAAAAATGATCTCAACAATTTCTAATGTTATACCACACACAAGTAAGCTATGAAATATTATAGAGATTTATCTAATAATCTCAACAATTTCTAATGTTAATACCATTAACTACCATTAATTAATAATTTATAATAATGTTAATAATTTCTAATGTTATACCACACACAAGTAAGCTATGAAATATTATAGAGATTTATCTACAATGTAACAATAATATTAAAATGGCACCAAGCCTCCAAACTAATATCTTCAGTGTGTGCCTCAATCCTTTTCTCATCTTTCTCAGTCATAATAATTAATTGTAACATGTTACTTATATTAGAGCCATCCCTAGTATTCAGTATTACTGTGGTTGTTGTTGTTGTTGGTTAAATGTAAATATCACATTAAAAAAGTAAAATTTACATATTCACTTTGTGTGTGCGCACACAACATAAGGATAAATAAAGAAGATAATAGTTCATGTTTTTTTGTGAGGTTGTGAATAGCCACATTACAGCCGCACTGCAGCTATTACTACACCTGTGCCACATTATAGATGCAATGTAGATATTAGTACATGTGTACCACATTACAAATGCACTGTAGCTACTCCTATACTTGCACCAAATTACAAATGTTCTGTAGCTATTCCAACATGTGCACCATACCCACAGTATCATCTCATAGAGGAGGGTTGAAAACCGAGGAGCTCCACAGCATTTTTGTGATTTGGGAGCGGTAAACAAGCTCTCTCACAGTGAGAAAGTGGATACAAACAATTGAATGTCCAGCAGTCATAAACCCCTTAAAAGTTTAGGAAAAAAATGCGGAAAATTGCAATTTTTTGTAAGAAAGTTCAGGAGGACATGGTGACTGAAGTGTCCAGTGGACCAGGGGTGAGGTAGTGGCCTGACCTGAGATAAGGCTGGGTAAATACTGTATGTGAGGTTGCTACCCAATCAACCTTCCATGATTTTAGTGTGGAGGAAATCATTCCTATAGTTAAAAATCCCAACATACAATAATAGAAGAATGTGAAGAATAGTGCAAGGGTAATGGCAAAAAATTAGCCAAGGCAAAGTAACCACATGAGTGAACATAGAAATATTACATAATAATACAATTAAAAAGAGTGAATCAAATAGAACATTGCATTTCTAAAAGGGCAAGTGAAAGAAACTGTAAAAAAAAAATGGGGGGGGGGGGTCATAGTGAGGCCACCAGATTGAAACAAATAAAGAAAACAAATGTGAGGAGTACTATCCACAGTGAGAAATAATCAATGGGAAAAATCTACATTTTAAAGAACAAAGAGCAGCAGAGAGTACAAGGGAGCAACACACCAGTTGTCTGTCATACAGTGTTAAGAACTCTGATTCTGATTCGATTAGTGAAGTTCAGCAACGTTAGGGTTGGCTAGTGTTGTACTTGGATGGGTAACTGCCAGGACACACCAAATGCTGTTGGCATTACTTTTTATGCCTTAATCACACTGTGTATAGTGACTTTAGGCATTGTACTTTCCTTATCTACAACATTTACAATCTTCTTGAATCCTATGTATGTTTGTACTTTTGCTTCACTAAATAATAATAATAATAATAATTCAGGAATGGGGAAGAATCTCTATTGTTTTACTATAAAGTTAGCTTAAAAGATAAAAGCCTAATGTGTATGAATACATTCTGGCTTCCTGTCCTCCGACACAGTGAATTATTAAGTATAAGAAAAAACAGTCACCTGCTCATTCAGTAATTACCTAAGAGCTGTACAGGATGCTTTTACAAGATGAGAGCTATGCTCGTGTTATCCCGTCTTCCCAGCACTCTGTCATATAACACTTTGAAACTACTGATGGTTTTGACCTCCACCACCTTCTCACCTAACTTGTTCCAATCATTTACCACTCTGTTTGAGAAAGTACATTTTCTTCTATTTCTTTGGAAGTTTTGCTTAGTTTAAATCTATAACTTCTTGTTCTTGAAGTTTCAGGTATCAGAAATTCTTCTCTGTATCAATTCTATCGATTCCTGTTACTATTTTATACGTAGTGATCATAGCGCTTCTTCAATTTTTTACTTTTAGAATATTTAATGCCTCTAACCTCTCCTCATAGCTCTTGTCCTCCAGTTCCGGGAACCATTTAGTTGCATGTCTTTGCACCTTTTCTAGTTTGTTGATGTGCTTCCTAAGATATGGGCTCCATACAGCCGCTGCATATTCCAGCTTTGGTCTAACAAAGGTCGTGAACAATTTCTTTAGTATTTCACCATCCATGAATTTATAAGCAATTCTGAAATTGTTGAGTGTAGAATAGGCTCCTCGTGAAATGTTTTTCATGTGGTCCTTAGAGGATAGTTTTCTATCTAGAGCCACCCAGATTTCTCACATAATTTATAGGTTGTGTGTGGTCTATGTTCTATTCCACATTCCATAACATGGCATTTATTCCAATTAAATTCCATTTGCCAAATTATGCTCCATACACTTATTTTGTCCAGGTCTTCTTGAAGGGCATGACAATCGTCTCTGTCTCTTATCTTTCCCAGTATCGTAGCATCATCAGCAAACATGTTCATATAATTCTGTATTCCATCTGGTAGATCATTTATGTAGACAATGAACATTACCTGTGCAAGATCTGAACCCCGTGGTACTTCACTTGTGACATTTCTCCAGTCCGATACATTGCCTCTGATTACTGCCCCTCTGTGTCACTGAAAGCAAATGTCACTTGCTCTGAGTCTGTGAGGGGGGGGGGGCCAGGTTTTGGCTCTGGTCCCCAGTAGACCAGTCAACACCACAGCTGATATAATTCCTACTAGTACAGGAGGAGATATGACTTAGTATATCCTTCTCCTAGGGAGGAGATATAATAGGCCTCCATCTCGGTGAGATAGCTTCAGGGAGCAACTGGGGCTCACCATCCAAAGAGGCATTTCATTACATTCAGTGCTGGTCTTTTACAAAGTTAATCATTCAGCTCTTATGGCTGAGACTGTCCCAAATAAAGATCATATTATAATTTTAATCCTATTTTTTTAAGTAAATTAACAAAAACATGTTTATCTTTTCCATGTTTTAGTACATTTTCACTGGGTCAATGACACCACTTTTTGTATCATTGTTGAAACTTTAATATCAGAGCAGAGCACTTTGTTTTTTCTGATTGGTATTCAATGTACAGTAATTATGTAATCTACTTACCTGCAATGGCAATCTAGGATCAATAAACATCTAAAGTACACCATCTAAATATCAATGTCATGACAATGGAACACACACAAAATGTGTGTGTTATAATATATTATATAATATATATACGTGGTACAGTACAGTACTTATTTTATTTGGGATAGGTGGTCATGGGTCTCTTCTAACTGCAATTCTATTGAATCTACATCCTTCCCTCCTGCTGTACTCTCATTGTTCTCCGATTGAGTGTTCTTTGTGTCCTCCACCTCTCCTCTGTCTCTTAGTCCCCATATCATTCCAGGTTCTGCAAAGGCAAGAAGACTTGGGATAAGCTTTGTGTATGTAAATACTATATTTTGACAATTAAAATCAAACAAGAGATGGAAGGAAAGGGGGAAATAACACACTGAATGTAATCAAATTCTTCGATGAGCCACCGGCTTCCTGTACTCATTGAGGCCACTAGTGTCAGTGGCCCTCAAGTAAATTCAGGTAAAATGTCCTTTTCTGATGGGTCCCTTGGTAGTTCTCTGATGCTAAGTGCTGCTCAAGTCATGTCTTGGGGGAAATGTACCAAGCCTCCAGGACCCACCCTGGCCTGTCATGAACCAGTGTCAAAATCCGACTTGTTCTATATGGCGTGAAAAATATACCATGGGAAGGATTGGGACTTTTATGAATAGGTAGTTATTCAGCTGTACAAGTCTCTGGTGCACCCCACTTGGATTATTGTATCCAAGCATGGAGACCTCGTCTTCAGAAGGACATTAGTGTTGTACTTTCTCCAAAGTAGTAGTCAACAAAAATCATTCCAAAAATCATGTTGACTTAGTTAACAGTCATATCAGGAACGATTAAGGACCACAAGACTAAACACTGCAAACCAAACATGACAGGGCTAATCTCATCGAACGTTTAAATTACTGTACTGAACAATTTGGAGGATAGTTGATCCAGATAATTTCTTCAAAAAGTCATATGTAACATACAAGGAACTACAATTTAAAGCCCAACAAGCTACAATGCAGGACTGAAAACAGGAGATGCTTTATCAGTCTTTATGGGTCATAAGCCCATGAAGTTGCCTAACCGCTGAGTCCGTATACAGGATGCCAAAACTCTGAATTTTAAAATCCAGCTTGAAAAAATCATTAGGACAATTTGGGGGACCTTTGACAAGCCGCTGGCCACTAAAACTAGAGTGTTAGTGACCCTCAGGTAAATTGAGATAAATGATGGAAGGTCTGCTAAGTCACCTCAAACTGCCACTGTGAAGAAGGATGTAAATGCGACACAAAAAGTGCCACAACTTTACTCCTATTAAGGTGACATTCTAGTAGACTTCCATCCATCCAGATTCTGCCACTGACCATGTGAAAGAGGTAGAGTCCTGGGAACAATGGGGATGGGGGCAATGAGAGAAAAGGGTTAAGAACTAGGGCAGAACTGGCCATAGGGGTTGGAAGAATGACATGGCCCATGAAGGTCACCAATCCAGTAAACACAAGAAGCAG